TTCTCCATTTGTTTACATAAACAGCTTCAGTAAGCAACCACTACGAAGTAGCACAAATAAATGTATAAAAAATATTTAAAACTTATTTTAAAAGCTATTTAAAAAATGTTAAAATAATTGGTTAAGTCCCTTTTTATTCATTAAAAAAAGTTTACTTTTATATGTTAATGTATTATAAATATTAATTTAACGTTTATTATAAATATTTTATATATTTTTATATTTTTTAAAAATATTAATAAATTTTTATATTTTTAAAAATATTAATAAAATAAATATGTAATAAACGTTAAATAAACATTTATTTTATTAATATTTTAATAATAAAATATTAAATATTTAGGTTCTCTTAAATATAAGGTTCTCGGGTTCAATTCCCGATTCAGCCACTTTCGGATCTATATTTTTCTCGCATTTATTTCTTTAAGGGGGGTCAGAGGGGGTTTAATGGAATTAAATCTCAAAGATGAGATTATTCCATATATTTAAGTCTTGGCAGTGACCAAGTAAAATTCGTGCCTTGTGCATATAATTATTTATTTCCGATGAAAAATTAATTTTTGTCGGAATACACGCAGCAACATCCGCGTTCGGCTCTTACAGCCTTTCTATCATATGTATTATATTTACTATTGAGAGCCTGATAGAAATGTCTTAATTAAATATTTAATAAATGTTAAATAAATATTTATATTGAATTAACATTAAGGTAAACGTTTTTTTAAAATGTGACTTATATAAAAAGGGACTTAACCAATTATTTTAACATTTTAAAAATATCTTTGAAATTAGTTTTAAACATTTTTTATATATTTGTTTCTTACTTGAGTATGCTTACAATAGAATTCAGATTGGACCATTTAATTTGATATGTATATTATAGTCTATCTCTTTTAGTTTAAAAAATAAAAGAGAATTTTTGGTGGAACATCCTATATACATATACAAAATGTTTCAAGGAATGATCAATATTCTATGGTTATATTCTAGAACATGATTGTATGAATTATTTTAAGCAAAAAAATTTATACAAACATCTTATTTTGAACGGTTTTAAAGATACAATGTGTTCAATTTTAAAAATCAAACACATTTATTAATTTAGGAGAAATAAATACTATGAAACAATAATTAATTAATTAATTAATTAATTTTTTTTATTTAATTTTTGCCGTTTTCTGTTACTATCCGAATACAAATGTAAACATTAGGTCACATTTAATAAGTTTTGCGTTAATTTGAAATTTTTTGTTTCTGGTGTAATTAAAATGTTTTATGTTTACACTCATGCCAAATTTATTGTTAATTAATTTAAATTATTGTTTACTAATTAATATTAATTTAAATTAATTATTTAAAATTGTAAGCTTAAAATTATTTGTAATTGTTTCATAAAATTTGCTTCTATTAAGTTAAAAAAATGTATTTGTTCTTAAGACTGAACACGTTGTAGTTTTATAACCACGTTCACAAATGAAACACATGTTTATATAAACTTTATTGCTTAATATAAGGTATACAATCTCATATTTCTATACTTTAGAATGCTAATCATTCTTCCTGAAACACTTTGTATATAATATATAATATAACTATATACATAATACTATATATAAAATTACATATATATTATACAATAATTACATTTTATAGGTATATGCATATATGTGCATATATGTTTATTTATTTATTTATTAGAATATCTTTTAGTGTCAGATCAAGAAAAAAAGCAAACAAGAATAAAGAGAGAAGAATTTTAAAATGTTACTATTAAATATAAGAGTTTTAACAAGGCTCTGTAATATAAATATAGATTTAACGTATAAGACGGGCAACAAGAGCCAAATCGCGGATGACAATGCGTTATCCTAACGAAACTAAATAATTTTTCGTTAGAAATAAATACCGGTGCACAAGGCACCAAATTTTTACTTGGACACGGCCAAGATTTTAAATATGAAATAATCTCATATTTTGAGATTTAATTTCAATACCCCTTTAACCCCCCTACGGAAAATAAATAAATGAATGCAAGAGAAAAATATAGATCCGAAAATCGCTGAATCGGGAATCGAACCCGAGACCTTTCGCTTGCCGGGCGACTGCTCTTCCAGCTGAGCTATTCAGATCCTTTCGATTCTATACTTTTCTCTGTTATATGTATTAACGTTGGTAAACAAACGCATTTTTTAAGCCAGCGTGTATCAAATATAAGAGTTTTAACAAGGCTCTGTTTCTCTTGCATTCATTTATTTATTTTCCGTAGGGGGGTTAAAGGGGTATTGAAATTAAATCTCAAAATATGAGATTATTTCATATTTAAAATCTTGGCCGTGTCCAAGTAAAAATTTGGTGCCTTGTGCACCGGTATTTATTTCTAACGAAAAATTATTTAGTTTCGTTAGGATAACGCATTGTCATCCGCGATTTGGCTCTTGTTGCCCGTTATACGTTAAATTTATATTTATATTACAGAGCCTTGTTAAAACTCTTATATTTGATACACGCTGGCTTAAAAAATGCGTTTGTTTACCAACATTAATACATATAACAGAGAAAAGTATAGAATCGAAAGGATCTGAATAGCTCAGCTGGAAGAGCAGTCGCCCGGCAAGCGAAAGGTCTCGGGTTCGATTCCCGATTCAGCGATTTTCGGATCTATATTTTTCTCTTGCATTTATTTATTTATTTTCCGTAGGGGGGTTAAAGGGGTATTGAAATTAAATCTCAAAATATGAGATTATTTCATATTTAAAATCTTGGCCGTGTCCAAGTAAAAATTTGGTGCCTTGTGCACCGGTATTTATTTCTAACGAAAAATTATTTAGTTTCGTTAGGATAACGCATTGTCATCCGCGATTTGGCTCTTGTTGCCCGTCTTATACGTTAAATTTATATTTATATTACAGAGCCTTGTTAAAACTCTTATATTTGATACACGCTGGCTTAAAAAATGCGTTTGTTTACCAACATTAATACATATAACAGAGAAAAGTATAGAATCGAAAGGATCTGAATAGCTCAGCTGGAAGAGCAGTCGCCCGGCAAGCGAAAGGTCTCGGGTTCGATTCCCGATTCAGCGATTTTCGGATCTATATTTTTCTCTTGCATTCATTTATTTATTTTCCGTAGGGGGGTTAAAGGGGTATTGAAATTAAATCTCAAAATATGAGATTATTTCATATTTAAAATCTTGGCCGTGTCCAAGTAAAAATTTGGTGCCTTGTGCACCGGTATTTATTTCTAACGAAAAATTATTTAGTTTCGTTAGGATAACGCATTGTCATCCGCGATTTGGCTCTTGTTGCCCGTCTTATACGTTAAATTTATGTTACTATTAATTATTCAAAATTATAAAATTTAATTGTTTTATATGTATAATATAATTGTAAACATAAAATTTGCTACTTTTAAATAAATTTATTCGTTCTTAAAACTGATCACGTTGTATTTTTATAACCGCGTTCAGAACAAAATACATGCTTATATAAACTTAAAATAATCTGTATTTATTATGTTCTAGAATGTAAATTAATCTTCCTGAAAAACCCGGTATATTTAATGTAATTTTCTCTGCATTTCCATATTCTTGTAGCTTTGCTCGAGAACTTTTCAAAACACTATAACAAAATATTTTTTTATTTATATAAAAAAAATATATTGCAAATTACTTACTTTTTTAAAATCAACTCTGTGTTTTTCTTATATCAATTAATTGGTCTCATTGTTCTGTACATAAAAATATTAAAGTAAAATTACCGAAAACTGAATGTTTTACCAGATATTTTGTATTTTATGTTAAAATTCTATAAACTTCAGATCTAATAACTAAAAAAAATACTTTATTATTGTGTTTTGAAAAATTCTAAAGCTGAACTATAAGAATATGTAATAAAAAGTGGAGGTTTCCATTAAAAAATTTAAAGTGATCTTTACGTGACCTTGACGACGCTGTTCAAGGTCATACTGATATTGTTACATAATGCTTTATTTGAAGTCCTGCAACTTTTGTTTAAAACATTTTTTTATCTTGCATATCCCTGGCGAAAATAATATGTTTATTAAAAGTTTACAAAGAGTTTGTTTAAATGTTAAGTAGATATTTTATTTGAATTTTAAAACATTCATTAAATTGTTTATAAGATGTAAATTTAAACATGGAATTGTTTGTTAAATGTTCATGGTTAACGTTTGATAGGCGTTCGGAAAGTGTTGTGTGATGTTTTCGGAGTGTTGTATATGTTCAGGATGTGTTTTAAGCAGCAATTCATAATTGTGTTAATTAAGTGTTTTCTTATTATTGTTGAGATGTTTGTAAAGTGTTCCAACTGTTTCACAAAAATTTTCAAACAACTCAGTAATAGTTTACAAAGTGTTTTGAAAGTGTCCGTGTGTCAGTGATGAGATGTTTGTTCAATGTTTTTTCACACTTTTTTATTGTTTATTTTGTTGTTAAAGATTAGTTTTTCTAATTAATTCTATTATGAGGAACAATATAGATCAATTATAGATTTCAGTCTAATCTTACTGATTAAACTGACATTTATAATCGATCTATACTGTTCCTAATAATGGAATTAATTGGGAAGATTAATTTATCAAAGCAAAGATCAATTAATCCAAAATTTTGATATGATTCTAATTTCTTCTGCATATTATTACACAAGTACCATATACATATTATTATACAAGTTTCTTAGATGTGAATTTTATTTCTATTTATGGATAAACTTAACACAATCAGTCTAGTCATAAAAATAGAGATAGAATTCCACATCAAAGAAATTTGCTCTAAACAATATGCAATTAGAGAATACACTAGAATCATATATAAATTCCGCATTATATATGTATATGTAATTGATTTTTTTATCTTTTAGTCATCAATATTGCAAATATTAAGAAAATATTTAAAAAATGTATAGATTTACAGTTAAGATTTTGAAACTACATGTTTTTATTGTAAATTATTTTTTTACAGTTTTATACATTTCTTTTTTTCAAAATTATATTTATTACTTACATATATTTTAGTTTTAAAATTATTTGCTTCTTAAGGTTCCTGGGTGCTTATGGCGGTCATATTGGATTGTGACATCAGAGGCGAGAAAATACACACTGAGATTTCTTAGATGCCATCTCAAAATAAAAAAATATTTCGATGAAACGGCACTTTAGATGGCTTTGGCACACTTTTAAAAAAACTTTGAAAACTATTCTTTTCCCTTGACAGTCAATCAACAATAGTAAAATTATCGTGATCAGACTTTGACATGCGGAATGACTGCGCATGTGCAAAAATCAGACGAACTTAGCCCAGCAGATCATTACAGAAAGTGGCTTGAAAATTTTTCGATTGGGAATACTGAAGACGGTAAATACAGTTCTGCCTAAATAGAAGATTTGATCAATAGCCTCTTAACATATCTTTCGAAAAGGTGTATTGATATGAATAATGGATCACGTGTAAAGAAAAGCGATACCTGAAGTAAACGATTGCAACAAAGACAACCCAGACTGGGGCTTGTATTACGATAATTTTACAGCTGTTGATTGATTATAAAGGGAAAAAGATAGTTTTCGGAGTTTAGAGTGTGCCAAGCTATCTAAAGTGGTTTCATCGGAATATTTTTTATTTTGAAATGGCATCTAAAAAATCTCAGCGTGTTTTCTCGCCTCTGACGTCACGATTCTGACATGGTCGGCGAGGTACCAGGAGCCTTTACAACCTCAAAGTGTTATGCCCGATTTCTGGAAGATAAATAACTGTGATTAGAATTAATTTACACTATTTTTGCAAGTAAAAAACTAAATAAATTTACCAAAATTATTTGACATAGAAGTAGAAATAACTGGGACTGCTACTAGGCCCTGCGGCCCATTCCCGTACGTGTCATAGGGAATCTGCCAGCTTAAATAGTTAGTTTCCGGTGTGTTTAACTGCTGTTGGTTTTGTAACTGCTGTTGATTTTGTATCTGCTCTTGTAGTGGCTCTTGGTCAGGTTGCAATTGCTGGGTTCTTATTGATGGCTGAAGTTGTTGCAAAGAGCCCCTTCTTTTATATTGTCTTTTCGAATCAGATCTTTGTTGCAATTGTTTACTAGAGGTATCGTTCTTTTTTATACGCGATCCGTTCATGTCAATACATCTTTTCGAAAGATATGTTGGGAGGCTATTGATCAAATCTTCGATTTGGGCAGAACTGTATTTACGATCTTCAGTACCCCCAATCGAAAAATTTTCAAGCCACTTTCTGTAATGATCTGCGAATTATTAATATTAGATATTAAAACAATTGTCCAGAATATAAATAACATCATTCAACAAATTGTACATCTTACATTTGGCAACATTTACAAACGAATGTGAAAAGGATTCCAAGTCTGAGCTCCTAGGCTTCCCATATCTCATATTCCAAGCCTTATCACCGTAGATTCCGGTAAGGAATGCTACAGCCCAATCAGAATGTTCCTTAACCGTACTCAGAACATGATAGGCATATTTGGAACACATAATTCCCTCACCAAGATGTACCTGAGGAAGTAGCAATGAGTTAGTAAAAATCGATAGCACAATTCACAAAAAAGTATTAGCCTGTATTCCATTTTTATCCGAGAAAAAATTAAAAGAAATAATACCTTTTCCTCCGATTCAGGAGCCATACTGCTCGAAGTGAGTGTAGAAGGCACATGTATTTCTGGAAAAAAATTAATTATAGATAAATATTATAGGTAAATATTATAGGTAAATATTAATTATAGATGACGTACTCATTAGGTTCTCGATATTTGATATTTTTTGGTCAAGTTGATCAACGCTTTCTCCAATCATATCTTTAATTACTTTAATTTTCTTTTCTAAATTTTTTTCCAATCTTTCTTCTAATTTCATCATTTTCTTATCAAAAATTCTCTCTATATGCTCAACTTGCTGATTGTTAGCAAAGGAAATTTCATCTTTTTTTTCAGCTCAGCCTTTAATTGCTGAATTTGTTCTAGAAGAGATTTCGTCTCGATCGAATCTCTGTTAACAAATTCATAGTTTTCACTCTCTGCTTGAGTATTATCTCCATCATATCTTTTGCTTTTTTTCTTTTTTTTTCTACAATAAACAAAAAATTAATAATAAATGTTTTATTCACATTTAACATTAAATTTTCCTATGAGACTTACTTTCGCTGGTTCAATTGAAACATCTGTTTCGGGAATTTTTTCTTGCAATAAATTATTCTCAATAAATAATTCGAATTCCTTATTTGAGGCACGTTGTTTTCTATTTTTCGTGATTTTCTGTACACCGAAATAAAAACATAACTTAATGAAGGTAAAACGATTTTTAAATAATAAATGAAAGATTTATACTCACCTCTTGATCTTTATTTTTTTTGATAAAATAATTTACTTGCTCGTTCTTTTCCTGATCTTCTACTCCCGTGGATTCAGGTTCTTTTTCGTCAATTTGCAGGTCTGGCCATCTAGGTCTCACATTATCCAGGGCTTCTAAAGACTCTGAATTAAACACATTAAAACATAATAAAGTGTGTAAAGCGTTTTCCATTCTTGTTAGCATCTTACACATTAAGTTTTGATAATAGATAAAAGCTGCCGATACTGTTATCGTCTCAAGACTTAGATTAATTTAAAATTATATTTGTCATAGAATGTTGCAAATCGTAACGTGTGCGCAATGTCGTAATATTTTAACTAAATAATGTTCTAAATCATACTATAAAAAAACCAACAATATTACTCAACATATTACCAACAATTACTCAATGATTTTTATAGACTAATTAGACAAAAATCAGATAATTTTATTTAATTATAAAAAACTAAAAAAACTTTTTGCAATATTTACAAAAAAATTGAATATATAATTATTTAAATATGTTAATAAGAACTATTTTGAATTTCATAAAGCTTTACCGTGTTATTTATTACTCAATAATTTTTATAATAAAAATGACAATTAATATTATACATGGGATATTAAAAAATCATGATTTTAAAAGACCTATATCAGTATCAGACTTTTCTCTATTAGTAGTTGTAATTTTATGTCAAACTTGAGAATACTATAACACAATTAAGAAAAAAATTATCTATTTTTATGCGCTTAAAAAATTTCTTACCTGCCAGTTTGCCAATAACGGCATAATATTTTGATTCTTTGCCATTTTTGCTGCGTAGACTTGTTCGGACCGAATACAATTTGCCATACACATAATCATTTAGATCCTCAGGCTGAAATTAAATCTTCTCTCCTTTGTCATTAACATCACTTATTTTACTTATTGGCACTTTTTCTTTTTCATTATCTTTATATTTCACATACGCGAACCAATTAGACGTATTCATATTATTACTGAAGTCACGGATATAAACTGCGTTCGCTTTGACGTTTTCAGCGCTATAAGCATCTTTCTTAGCAACGCGTCAACAACGTTCATAATAAATGAAAGAGCGCAGGACTTGGTAACGAGCGCGGTCGCAGGAACGTGTGTATCACAAATGTAATCCCTCTGGTCCACAATATTTTAAATAATTGTGAAGATATAAAAATTTCCAATGGGGCGTTATAAGCGCTATTTGTTCTTAAATAAGAATATTCCTCGGTGTACGCAATGGTATCGACGTAAACGACAAAATGAAGAAGAAAGAATGCTTCGATCTCATTCGGTAAAGTATCCGTGTTAATCACTAACAAGGAAAGTCGCGGTTGACTCTTCACCGATTTTGATTCCATTTTTTATAATAAATCTACTCTGAATATAGTTAAGCCCTATAGAAACTTTTTGTCTGTCAATACGTCTTGTAATATATTTTTATACTTAAAATTTAAATAAAACGTATGTTATACGATACAAAGAAAGACGTGTTATAGATCAATGCCCTATGGCACAGTGAGTGAGTGCAAAAGTTAATAATACGAGAATACAGGTTCAGAACTTGCGCTGTCAATACTCTTTTTTTATTTTTTGGTTTTTTATTTTTTTAGTTATTTATATATATATATATATGTATATATCATGTATTATTAACTACATAGAAAAAAATATTTGGCATATATTTACAATTAGATACGTATATATCTTTTTATATATTTGTCTGCATAAAATGTGAAATAAATAGTTTTACAGAAAAATACTTTTACTTTTATTTTTATTTTTTACTTTTATTTTTAAAGATTTATACATTTTCTATAATTTTCTTAAATAATGTAATAATAATGTTAGGATATATGTATACACACAAGTTTCATAAAAACAACTATGAGAAATCTCTGTTTAAAAAAAGTAAAAATATTTTTATGTAAAAATATTTTCTTTATTTTACATTTTACGCAAACAGATATAAAAAGATATATGCGCAGCTAATTGTAAATATATGCCATTAAATATTCATTTTTACATAATAAATAATAGATATGTACATATATATGTATAAAATAATTTAAAAAAAATAAAATAAACAAAAAATTTTTTAAATGTTGGCAATGCAAGTTTCGGGAACTTCGCTTTTTACTAACGGTTGCACTCATTCATTGTGCCATATGACATTGTTCGATGATGTGTCCTTTTTTGACTTATAACGTACATTAGAGTTTATCCAAATTTCAAGTATATAAAAAATGTTATAAACCGCATTGGATGAAAAATCCTTTAAGGATTTTTAAAGTAGATTTGTTACAAAAAGGGGATCAAAATTGATGGAGAGTCAACCACGATCTCTCCTTTGTAAGAGTTTACAATTCTTAGATAAAAATAAAATACAGATTTTTTTGTTAACCTCTTACATTTTTTGTCAATATCCTTAGATCGATCAACAAAAGCTTGTCCATATTAGTGATGAAACTTTGCAAGGAGAAAGGCTTCCACTTCATTTAAACTCTGATGAAAGACAGGGAGAATGTACAAATTCTAATCAAGTCTATATACAAGCATCTCATATTGAATCAATAAAAAGCAGTCCAACAGAGGTTTCAACTTCAAGCTCATCAACATTAGTATTGTAGTACAAAATACACCAGCTTTGTCAATATTTCAATCCACCTGCAGCCAAGGTTCAGATTCGATTGGTTGCTTTTCAACTGAAAATTTTCAATCTTTTGCTAGTAATGCTGAAGAGCAAGACAAAGACAGTAGTGATTCCAACTTTAAAAGTATTGAAACTGAAGATGAATCTGATCTGGAAGAAGTTTCAGATTATCTTAGGGAAGAATCTATTTTGAAAAATGTTGAATCTCGTCTTGTAGAAGAAGAAAATTGTTTCATCTTTCACGACGAATTTATAAGAGATGAGTTATCGAATTCTGATGAACAAGAAACTCTTTGCCCATGTACCAAAACTGCTGTTGCGGATGTTATGCTCATGTGTTTAGTATTAGGATTAAGACATAACTTATCATGGGAAGCTCAGACCGACATTTTAAAAATGTTTAACGCTATTTATGGAGATAATACGATTAAAGTAACAAAGTATAGCTACTTTAAATTGTTAGATAGAGAGAAAGAAAACATATATTTTCATATTTATTGTCCGGATTGTGAAATCTATCTTGGAAAAAAAGAAATATTGAAAGGAAATGAAATATGCACAAGCTGTGGTGTTGATATTGATGTTTCCAACTCATCAAATTTTTTTGTCTCAATATCCTTAGAATCTCAACTTCAAAAATTGACCAAAAACAATGATTTTGTTCATGCTGTGATGAATCATAGGTTTAATCGAAACAAAATTGAAGAAAATGCTTTGGAAGATATCTATGATAGAAACGAATACAAGAAGCACTTTGAGAAAGAAGGTGTATTGTCTTCACCATACAATTTCTCTTATTCTTTTTTTACTGACGGTGTTCACACAGGTAAATCAAACAACAAGACACTTTGGCCTATTTATCTTACTATAAATGAATTACCAATCTCAGAACGGAATAAATATGTCTTACTTGCTGGCTTGTATATAGGACCCAAAGATCCTAATCAAAAAATTTTTTTTCAACCGTTTATTAACGAAGCTAATAAACTTTCTACAGAAGGATTTAAATGGTTTCACAATGGCCAAGAAACTGTTAGTAAAGTTATTCCACTTTGTTGTATTGCTGATTCAGTTGCAAGATACCAATTGCTAAATTTTCAGTCATTTGCTGCCTACTATGGCTGCACATTCTGTTACCAAAAATCAGAGCGCACACGAAAAGGACAAAGATTTACAGTTTCAATTCATCCTGCTGAGGAAAGAACATTGGAGTCTACAAAGGAAGATCTACTTAAAGCATTTCAGAGAAAAGATGAAACAAATAAAAGCAAAAGGCAATATAGAGGAGTAAAGAGTTTTTCACCATTAATATTATTACATTACTTCAATTTTATGTCTGGATTTGTAGTTGATTATATGCATAATATTTTACTTGGAGTAACTAAATTACATACTGAACTTATTCTACAATCTACTCGCAAAAAGTTTTGGCACATCTCAGAAAGTGTAGGAATAGATCATCTATTAAGCACGATTGATGAACGGCTTTTAATGATACATCCTCCTTCTTCTATAACAAGGACTCCTCGCTCTATTAAAGATATAAGTAGATGGAAAGCATCCGAGTGGAGAGCATGGTTATTATTTTATTCTATGCCATGTTTAAAAGGTCTGCTGAAGAAAAAGCATATAAATCATTTTGCAATGTTATCTGTAGCAAATAATATTTTGCTTCAAAAATCAGTGACACGTGAAGAAGTATTTCAAGCTCATGAACTTTTTCTGCGCTACATGTATTTCTTTCAGAAATATTTCGATAAGGAAAACATGGTATATAATATTCATCTTCTGTCACATATTTGCAAAGGTGTTCTCAATTGGGGCCCATTATGGACTCATAATTCTTTCATATACGAAAGTCAAAATCGTCACCTTATGCAATTATATCATAGTCCTTCAAATGTTGTATTACAAATTGCGCGCAAGTTTCTCATTTATACTTCAATACCTTATTTGTGTTCAAAGCTCGTTTTGTCACAAAAAACTATTGAGTTTTCTGAAAAAATTTAAAAAAAAAAACTTGATTCGCTTTATACGTTGTGGAGAGGAAATTATACTTTTAGGAAAAGGTAAAAGATGTTCATTATCAACTGAAGAAGAACAGTTACTTGCGATAAATGATATGTCAACTGATAATTGTTTAGCTTACCAGAGAATGATTTATAAGCGGATAAGATATTCATGTAATAGTTATTGTAACAACAAACTTAATAATAATTCATACATATTTATCAGTTCTGGGAAAAAGGTTGTGATTAAATTAATTTTAAAGTTTCCAGTTGGAGTCAAACTGATTGTGCAGCAGCTTAATATACATGATGAATCTATTATTACAAATAAAAATGTAAAAAATTTTCATATTCAAAAAATAGATAGTTATGGCCATTTAAAATTTATCGACGTAAGTTACATAAAAAGTCAGTGCATTTTTATAAGTGTACCATGTAGCAACTATGTGTGTGACATGCCATTCGGCTGTTACGGAGACTAGTTAAGACTCTGTAATGCCTGCTTCGTTTTTTATTCTTTTACGCTTACTGATGAAGATTGCTTGAAACTTAATTTAGCACTGACAGTTATATGTAATAATATAAAATTTATATTTATAAAATTTATGTTATATAATTTACGTTTCTATAATTACATTTATATATATTTTACGTTTGGTTGATAACTTAATTTGTAATAAAATGCTTACCTGTTTTTTTTATTCTTTCAAATGCTTTCTGTAAATTATGTAAGTAAAATAATAAAAGGATAATTTTTATAAATTAAATAATTGAAATAATTAAAGTACCTATTTTTTGCTGTCTATTAAAACAACTTATTAGTTTGTCCAGTATCGTTAACCAGAGAATTTAAAATTTGATTACTTTAGAAATATGTGCTTATGAGTATTTCCCTTCTTATATGTTTATGGCATGTTGAAAAAAACATTAATTATGTTTTTTTTAGAATATTTTGAAAAGTTGTTTACGGTGTTTGTAAATGATTTAGAAGCGTTTTTGTTATAATATTTAAGAAGTGTATCATACTGTTTAATGTTGTTTTTAAAAGGGATCCATGTTGTGGAGATGTTTATTAACTGCTTATAAATAAAATGTTTGAGAAATATTATGAGATTGTTTTGATGCACGCTGAAATTGGTGTTACATGACTGTTTTCAAAGTGTTTCTTAGGAAATGTTTAAGTGACGTTTAATAATATAATTTCAAACGTTTCTATTACAGTTTTCTAAGTATTTATAAAATGTTCATGTCAGCAGAGTATTAATCAGGTGTTTACAACGTGCTTTCAAACAGTGTAACCATCAATAAAACTCTTCATAAACAAATATAAATACAATCTCTCACTAACAATTTTCGCCAGGGATTTTTGGAATAATTCAGGTACTTCTATACTTTTTGAACATCCTGTATATGTGTGGTACATATATATATATATATATATATATATATATATTCATATATACTTACATAAGCATGCATACATATATTATATATACACATATACATACACACATACATACATACACACACACACACACGCGCGCGCGCACACACGCACACACGCACACACACGCACACGCGCACGCACACGCACACACACACACACACGTATGTACGTATCAGAACAGTGATAAGGCCAGTCCGATGTTTTAAATGCTGGCACTTTGGACACCGTGCTGTCCAGTGTAAAAGCGAGATAGACCGATCCAAACTCTGCATCAAGTGTGGAGAAGAGAGTCACACCCTCGCCAAGTGTAGTAAGCCTGCGAAATGTGTACTATGCGCTGACCAACCCGGGAAAGAGAACACTGCACATAATGCCGGTACAAGTAGATGCCCAGTATACCAAGAGGCACTTAAGAAGATCACAGACAGACGAAAATGAGAATATTGCAGCTCAACATCAACCACTGTGAGGCTGCACATGACTTGCTCATGCAGA